TTTGAGACGTATAGTAAGTATAGTTTGAGAAAAATTGGGCACAAACTGTGTCACTGTGCTGATCTTTGTAGTTTCAAGTTCAGATTTTGTTTGCAAATAGGTAGTTTAAATGGCAGTCATCATTAGTATAAAAAGGTTTTTTATAATTAGAGCAAGAGTAAAGAAATTTAATAGGAGGTTCCTATTCTTAAGGGTCTTCTAGTTTAATGGATGATACCAAATAAAAACATGGAAAAGGCTGACAAATCATAACGTACAAAAGAAAATATATTACGTAGCAGTTCATGAGCACATAAATGCCATTTGTAAATTAATAAATTGTGTGTAAAGGTGTAGCATTTTTACAAGAGTTCATGGGATAGAAGTTCAGCACAGACTTCATTGAACAGGAAGAACTTCAGTGGTAGATTCTTCAAGAATGATAATGTCAAAAAGCAAAGAAGAGCAGTAAGAATACTCAAGGCAGCTGGAACAGCTTAAGCAAAGTACTCAAGCATTTTTATTCATACTATACTGTGTTGCTTTACTATTTATGATACCTTTTCCTAAGCCTATGTTTTTAGGAATGGCCAGAATAATTCAACATAGTCTGGTTTAAGTGTCACCTTATGACTTTTATAGCCCTGGAAAGTGTCTGGTCTGTTATTTCACATTATGACCTAGTAAGAAAACCTAGTTTGTACTTCTCTCCTATGTGATCTGCAGATATTCTATGGACAAAATTCAGAAATGAACAGGGAGGCATTTTGAATTGTTTGATTTGTTTTTTTTTTGGGGGGGGGATCCGGTCGTGGGGCCTGAACTCTGGGCCTGGGCCCTGTCCCTCAGCTCTTCAGCTCAAGGCTAGCACTCTACCACTTGAGCCAGAGCGCCACTTCCGGCTTTTTTCTTTTTTTGCTTATGTGGTGCTGAGGAATCGAACCCAGGGCCTCGAGCATGCAAGGCAAGCGCTCTACCATGAGCCACCTTCCCAGCCCTTGAATTGTTTGAAATGAAGCTGAAAGTTAAACAAAGAGAACTATTAAAAATCTTTAAACATTTTTTGTATATTTTTTATTGTAAAAATACTGTACAGAGGGGTTACAGTTACATGAATAGTGTATTAAGTACATTTCCTATAGGGCACTTTTTAACTCCTCTGTTTTTCTTCTACCATCCCTTCCCTCCCTACTGCCTCAACTCCTCCCTCCCCACCCAAAGTTGTAAAGTTCATTTTCAACATAGTGTCTTGTACATCTCACTGTTACAATGAGTCAAGCTGTATCTCTATTTCAGCATTTTGTTATTTCCCTTCCCATCCCCAAATTAGAAAAATGTATATACTAGATACAGGGCACCAGAATCAAATACAGGGGTTATACCACGGGTGAAGAACATACAAAAGAAACAAAAAAAATCCATTAAAAATGTTGAGACAACCAACAGTTAAATCAAGGCTTTCTGTCACTGAGCAGCAACAGTCTCTGCTTCACAGATGAAATAAAGTATTGGAGAAGGTATCAGTAAGATTTTTTACTTTTTAAAACTGTTTTTATTGTCTTTAAGCAGTTGTTCAAAGAAGTTGCCATTCAACAAAATAGTTTATGAATACAATGCATCTTGGTTAATATCATTCCTTTCAACATTCTTATCCATTCCCTCTAACCTTCCTCTTCCTCACTTTCCTTAAATTTCATATGCTGTTTACTGAATTTTTATATTACTTTCAAGATTAAAGACTTCCAAATGAGTAAGAATCACTGGGTGATTTTTCAGCCATCGGAGTTAGTATATTCATAGTTATTGAAAAAATAAACTCAAAAATTTGCTTCCTTAAGTTTAAATACAAGTGCTGCCTCCAGAGAAGTTATTCAATTTGTGCTTCAGTTTCCTCATCTGTAAAGCAGAGTTAATACTGATAGTTTACTGTATAGATTACTATGGGAATTAAGTGAACTTAATACATAAAACACTGGTGTACAGTAAATATAACTCAAATGTTTTCTACTACCATGACACATTTTTCTCTTGTACCAATATTGGGGCTTTATGCTCTTTACTACTTCAGTAACATCTCTATTTCTGTCTTTTTTCTGGTTAATTGGAAATACGATTGTCATGAACTTTTCTCCCAGCCTGGCTTTGAACCTCAATGTTCATATCTTAGCCTACTGTGTAGGTAGGATTACAGGTGTGAGCCACTCACAGTTACTTTAACATGTTTTAATCCTTATGCTTTATTTTTCTGTTAGTGATGAGAGTTGTTTAGTTTGCTCGTGTAGGATACAGCACATTTAAAAATTTTAGAAATGTTTTTTTTTCAATTTGTACCACAAGAAAGCAAGTGATTTTATAAATTCAGGTTTATGAGTTTATTTACCTTCCTACATACCTACTTTCTTACCTACCTACCTAGTAATCTATTTATCCTATCATTTATTTAAGCTTTTTCCCTGACTGCTAGTTTGGGACAGTTTACCAAACCTCTTCAATTTTTGGTGCTCTGCTGTGTAAAATGGAGACAGTAAAAATTGTGATGTGAAGATAAATGAGCTAATTTAAAGGTTTGTCACATAATTCTCCATTTCTAAAAATGTTCAGTAAATTTTGACTACTAATAATGGTATCTCTACACCACAGGCTGGAAAACATAGGCTTTTTATAATCTCAGAAATACGTTTATATAACAAATTTTAATATTTCCCATTCTATTATATGATTTTAATAATAGCTGACTGGTCATTTTTCAAACTGGACTTAGATTGTATTGGATAGACTCAAATAGCAAATTGGTGAATAAATACAAAGAAGTGTTAGAGTGATAATTTAATTTTCATTTTGAAACAGTATTTTCATGTTTATAGGTGAATAGAAAATGGATCCAGAGACTGTAAATAGACTTAGTTACCTCACTGATGAAGGTACTCATGCTGCTTGATTACTGAATGGTGCTCACAAAGATGGAGAACAACTAGTCATTTTCAATACTTTAGAAAAAAGCCATTCTTCTTTTTGAAGATCTTTAGATATCTTTTGGGGGGAGTGGATTAAGGAAGTATTGGAGCTTGAACTCAGGGCCTCACAGTAGCTTAGTTTTTATACTGAAGGAGCTCTAATTCTTGAGCCACACCCCAATTTTGTCATTTTACTGGCCAATTATGGATAAAAATCTTTCAGGCTTATCTGCTTGGACTAGCCTTGAACCACTATCTTCAGAGCTCAGTCTCCTAGGAAGCTAGGATTATGGTTGTAAGCCATTGGTATCTCTCTGGCCTTTTTAGATTTGATTTTCTTTTTCAAGACTTATTTTTTTTTTATCTGATACTTTTTCTTACATGCTTTGAGGACTCCTCTAATAAAGTGAACAAAATTGTATGGCACTATTGTCTGCATGAAAAAAATGATAGTCCTGAATCTCTCCTGAGACTACAAGAACAGAGTTATCTGGACTATTTTCAAAGCAAAGGAGTTAAGAATTATAGAAAATTTAATGATTTTTAAATGTTTCTACTTTTTAGAGTAATATGGGTAAAGTATTTCTTTGTAGGTTCACCATCATACTGATGAGAGGAAACTGACAAAGCTTAGGGCTGAAACTACTGCAATGCTGATTTATTAGCATAAATTATGATCAGGAAGTCTCTCTGCATTGTTCTCAGACAACAACACATGGCTCAATATTGGTATTGAGTCTTTTAATCTCATTTAGAAACTTAAAGCTGAGACATCTCTTTTTATGAAACAATGTTATAGTCAATAGTGATTTTGCATATTATTTCCAAAAGATTCACTAAAAAAGACATCTGATCTCAAAACAGACTTCTTGCTTTTATCTCCAACCTCAAAAATTGATAGGACCATTAATAAAAAAAGTTTTCTTTTTAATTTTGAAGACCATTTCTGAAGAGGAGAAGACAGGGAAATGGGAAGGAAAAGGAAGAAACAAAAAGAGAGAGAAAAAGAGAAACACATACACACAGAAGTGCAGGGAGAGGAATAAGGAGGGAGAAAGTTGTGATTAGGGAAAACCATTACATTCAATACAACTTCAGATCCTCTAGATTCTTTTTTTGTGTGTTTTTTTTAATTGTCAAGGTGATGTACAGAAGGGTTACCCATCATAAGTACAATACCAGGGTAACAAAATCAAATACAGTGACAAAAGGAGAATATACCATAGGGGGAAGAACATACAAAAGAAACAAAAAAAAACACATAGTACATCAAAAATAACAACAAAGAAAAACCTCTTGTGTACATGTCTTGGGTTTCAGTTCACTTAGCGTCATCTTATAGGGTCATATGTACATAGCTATGAGCTATTCTTCTCATCTCCTAAGATTATCCTAGATGTATACTAATTATTGCAAATAAGGGAAACCGTGGACCTATGTTTCTTTGGGCTTACTTTACTTAATATGATTATTTCCAAGTCTTTCCATTTCCTTACAAATGGGGCAGTTTCATTCTGAATGCTACTTCACTGTTGGTGGGAGTGTAAACTTGTTCAGCCATTCTAGAAAACAGATAGCGGTTCCTCAAAAGAGTACACATAGAGCTTCCCTATGACCTACCAATCCCATTTCTGGGCATTTACCCAAATGTCACAAACAAGGCCATACTAAAGCTACCAACACAAGTATGTTTATTGCATCATTATTTACCATAACTAAGATATGAAACCAACCCAAATGCCCCTCAATACATGAATGGATCAAGAATATATATATATAGGAATTCTATGCTTCCATCAAAAAGAATGATCCCTCTAGATTCTTATATATGAGAAAGGAACTGTAAGACTACTGGGAAAAAGGCAAATGTAAGTCAATAATGACAAAAATGTAACAAAAAATCCATAAACCATGTTCAAGGTATAGGAAGAATTTTCTGTATGTTTAGCACTACAGACATTTTCATGTAGCTGTTCCTCATATGTTTACCCATGTTTACAAGGTTTATAATGCATCTTTTTCTTTTTCCAGAGAACCAAACAGCTTTAACTGTCCTGCCTGTGACCCATGGAAGTGGCCAACAATGTTACTGAGTTTATATTCCTAGGACTTTCCCAAGATCCTGGAATGCAGTTGATGTTATTTGTATTATTCCTCCTCTTCTACATTGTGATCATGGTGGGAAATTTACTCATTTTGCTTACAGTCTTTTCTGATCGCGAGCTCCACACACCCATATATTTCTTCCTTAGTAACCTGTCCTTTGTGGACATTGCCTATTCATCAGCCACAGCCCCCAAGATGATTTCAGACTTTGTTTCTGAAAAAAAGACTATATCCTACTGGGGATGTGTAGTCCAGATGTTTACCTTTCATTTTTTTGGTTGTGCTGAGATCTTTGTTTTAACTGTCATGGCTTTTGACCGTTATGCTGCCATCTGCCACCCTCTCCGTTACACTATCATCATGAGTGTCAATGTTTGCACCATTCTGGCATCACTATCCTGGTTGGGAGCCTTGGGTCATTCCTTTTTCCAGACCCTCCTGATCTTTCAGCTGCCCTTTTGCAATGCTCAGGTCATAGACCACTACTTTTGTGATGTTCACCCAGTCCTAAAACTTGCCTGTGCTGATACAACCCTGGTTAATATATTGGTTATTGCCAACAGTGGTCTCATCTCCTTGGGGTGTTTCCTCATTCTTCTGGCCTCCTACACAATCATTTTATTTAGTCTTCGGAAACGGTCTACAGAAAGCCGGCGTAAAGCTCTCTCTACCTGTGGCTCTCATCTGATGGTAGTGACTTTCTTCTTTCTCCCTTGCATCTTTATTTATCTTCGTCCATCCACTACTTTCCCGCTGGACAAGGCTGTGTCTGTATTTTATACCACAATAACTCCAATGCTAAACCCACTCATCTATACTCTGAGGAATGAGGATGTAAAGAATGCCATGAAGAAATTATGGAATCACAAGGTATCCTCCAAAGAAAAGCAAAAAGGCTAGTTGGTCAAAATTTCCAAATCAGAGAATTATTTTGTATCTTCAGTGAATTGTTAAGAACTAGTACTTGAAGTTCAACTGTTTGAGCTACTTGACAGCTATTTTCTTTAATTTTTATTTATTTTTTATTGTGAAAATATTGTGCAGAGGGGTTACAATTACATGGGCAAGATAATGAGTACATTTCTTATCAAGCATTGTAGCCTCCTCTTTGTTTCCCCTTCCCATCCCTGCCCCTCCTTCCCCTACCCCACCACCCAATCCTCCCCCCCCCCAAAGTTGTAAAGTTCGTTTTCAACATAATGACTTGTACATCTCATTGTTGCAATGGATCCACCTGAATCCCTATTGAAACAATTTGTTTTTTCCCCTTCCCCTCCACAAATTGTACCTACATCAAGTACAGTGAAAGCAGGGGTTATACCGTCAGGTAGTGACATACAAAGCAACAAAGAAATAATCTTATAAATGTGTTAGAAACAATCGCATGAAAGAAAAAAAAACATTTCAATACATATGTTATTGTTCATTTCCCTAACATCAACTTATCTGACTTTTTCTGCTTGACTCAGACATATACTAGTTATTGCAAATAAGGGAAATCATGGGACCTGTGTTTCTTTGGGCCTGGCTTACTTTACTTAATATAATTTTTTCCAAGTCTTTCCATTTCCTAACAAATGGGGCAATGTCATTCTTTCTGATGGAGGCATAGAATTCCATTGAGTATATATACCACATTTTCTTGATCCATTCATCTACTGAGGGGCATCTGGGTTGGTTCCATATCTTAGCTATAGTAAATAGTGCTGCAATAAACATAGTTGTGCTGGTAGTTTTATTTTAATTTAATTTGTTTTTTGGTGAACATACTGTACATAGGGGTTACAATTACATGGGCAGGGATAATGCGTACATTTCTTATCAAGCATTGCAGCCTCCTCCTTTGTTTACCCTTCACATCCCTTCCCAGGCTCCCCCCCCTACCCCCAAACCCAATCCTCCCCGCCTCCCCCACCCCCCCGCCCGCACCAACATTGTAAAGCTCCTTTTCAACATGACAACTTGTACTTCTCATTGTTGCAACAGGTCCACCTGTATCCTTAAACAACTGGTTTTTCCCCATCTCCTCTACAAGTTATACTGACATCAAATATAGTGAAAGCAGGGGTTATACTGTGGGGGAGGGACATACAAAGCTACAAAGAGATAATCTTATAAATGCATTAGAAACAAATGCATGAAAGGAAAAAAACATTAAAATACATATCTAAGGGTTCATTTTCCTAACATCGCATTATCTGACCTTTTCCTCTTGACTCATACATATACTAGATATTGCAAATAAGGGAAACCATGGGACCTATGTTTCTTTGGCCTGGATTGCTTCACTTAATATAAGTTTTTCCAAGCTTTTCCATTTCCTAACAAATGGGGCAATGTCATTCTTTCTGATGGAGGCATAGAATTCCATTGTGTATATATACCACATTTTCTTGATCCATTCATCTACTGAGGGGCATCTGGGTTGGTTCCATATCTTAGCTATAGTAAATAGTGCTGCAATAAACATAGTTGTGCTGGTAGTTTTAGTGTGGTCTTGTTTGTAAACATTTGGGTAAATGCCCAAAAGTGGGATTGCTAGGGCATAGGGGAGCTCTATGTGGAGTCTTTTGAGGAACCTCCATACTACTTTCCAAAGTGGTTGAACAAGTTTACACTCCCACCAACAATGCAGTAAGGTTCCCTTTTGTCCATATCCCCTCCAGCATCTGTTGTTATTAGAGTTCTTGATTTTAGCCATTCTAACTGGGGTGAGATGATATCTTAATGTTGTTGTGATTTGCATTTCTTTTTATTGCTAGGGAGGTTGAGCATTTCTTCATGTGTCTATTGGCCATCCTTCTTTCTTCTTCAGAGAAGTTTTTCTTTAAGTCTGTAGCCTACTTATTTATTGGGCAGTTGTTTGAGGATTTGTTGTTGGGGGATTTAATTTTTTGAGTTCCAAGTATATTTTAGATATGAGACCCTTGTCCGTTGTATGGCTAGTGAAGATCTTCTCCAATCCGTGGGCTTTCTATTGATGTTGTTAGCTATGTCCTTTGCCATGCAGAAGCTCTGCAACTTCATGCAATCCCATTTGCCCAACTTTCTTTGATTTGTTGTGTTTCCAGGTCTCTATTAAGAAAATTTCGGCCTGTGCCAAGGAGACCTAGGGTTTCTTCTATTCCATCCTGGAATAATTTCAGAGTGTCTGCTTTGACTGCGAGGTTTTTGACCCATTTGTAGTTGATTCTGGTGCAGGGTAATATATAAGGATCTAGCTTTAATTTTCTACAAGTAGTTAACCAATTTTGCCAGCACCATTTACTGAAGAGGCTTGACAGCTATTTTTGAATTTATTTAGATGAGTTAAACTTAAAAACATTTTCATTTTGTCAGAGTTTAAACTCTTACTTCTGGAATGAAAGAATAAAAAGTGTACTCAATATCTTGCTATATTGCTGTAGCTACTTTCTGTTCACATCAATCTCTCTTAACCTATACTGATGGGTAGCATGGTGTTACATGTGTTATCTCCAAGGAATTATATGGATTTATTTTGTGTGAGTGTGTTTGCATGTGTGGGTGTGAGAGGGAGGGGAGAGCAGGGAGAAACGGGGAGAGCAGGGAGAGAGCATGTTATTGCTAGGGCTTGAACCCTGGGTCTGGGCACTGTCCCTAAGCTTTTTCACTCAAGACTCTTTCTCTACCACATAAGCAATACCTGCACTTCTTGTTTTTTGGTGATTAATTGAAAATAAATGTCTTTATAGACTTTCTGGCCACAATTCTCATTTCTTAGTCTTCTGAGTAGTAGGAATTGCAGACATGAGCCACTGGTTCCCGGCTCAGACAATTTTTTTTGTTTAAATTCTGAGGATTTGTATTCATGTTCCTTCCTTCCACCATTCTATTCTCCCTAAATCCCTCCTTCCTTCATTTTATCCCTTCAATTTTATTTCCTCCTTTCTTATTTGTTTTTATAATATATTTTATTGTTATTGAAGAGGTGAGGTACCGAGTGTCTACAGTTACATGTTAGGTCATGAGTGTATTCCTTTTCTATCATTTTACCCCTTCCCTTGTTCTCTCCCAGTTTTCTCCTCCCATACTCAGCCACAAGTTTTATAGTTCATTTTCTGTATAACATTTCATAAATACCATGACTATATATATATATATATATATATATATATATATATATTCACCCTTTGTCCCACCTCTTCTGTGCTCCACTTACTGTCCCAAAGATAAATAAACTAACAAGCCAAAAAACATCAACTACAAACAAACCTTGTTTCCATTTGTTGGATTCATTGAATAAAATATTGTTTTATATGATTATATACGCTTTTGTGATCCACTCCTAAGAATATCCTATCCTTTTTGTGAATGTCTAGAGAGCTATATATTTTACATAGTGTAGGTGTTGTTGTTATTATTGTTATGATCCAGTGTGTTTACTTGTAGATTTATAGGCAAATTCTAGCTATCACAAATGAGGGAAACCATGCACCCTATGTTTCTTTGGATCTGGCTTACTTTACTTAATATAATTTTTCCTAATCTTTCTATTTCTATATGAATGCTGCAATATCATTCTTTCTGAGGAAAACATAGAATTTTGTTGTGTATTCATACCACATTTTCTTGATCCATTCATCCACTGAAGGATATCTGGGTTGATTCCATATCTTTTCTATGGTAAACAATGCTGCAATGAAAATGGTTGTGCTGGTTGCTTTAGTATGGCATTGTTTGTATTCTATTGGATAAATGCAAGGAATGGAATTGCTGGGTCATAGGGAAACTATGTTTAATCTTTTGAGGAACCTCTTTACTGCTTTCCACAGTGGTTGAGCAACTTTAAATTGCCACCAACAGTGCATGGTGTTTGTTTGTTTGGCCACATCTCTACTAGCATTTGTTATTGTTAGTTTTCTTGATAATGGCCATTCTAACTATGTGAGGTAGAATCTCAATGTTGTTTGAACTTGCGTTTCTTTTATGGACAGAGATATTGAACATTTCTTCATGGCAATTCTTCCTCTGTGAAATCTTTAAGTCGTTACCAATTTATGGATTGGGTTGCTGTTTCTTGAGAATTAACTGGGTTGCTAATTCTTGGTGTGTTTATTCTGAGGGTGTTTAATTTTTGAGATCTAAGTATATTTTAGATATAAGGCCCTTGTCTGATACATAACTAGTAAAAATATTCTATGGGCTTTCTATTTATCTTGCTAGCTATGCCCTTTGCCATGCATAAACTCTTTAATTTGATGCAGTCCTATTTATGCAGTATTGCTTTGATTTATTGTGATTCTGGATCTTTACTTTAGGAAGTTTTGACTCATGCATAGAAGCCCCAGTGTTTCCCTTACACCTTATTGTAATATTTTCAGGATATTTGGCCTTACATTGAAATCATTGATCCTGTGTTGTCTGTGAATAGCCAATTCTGCGGGCACCATTTGTTGAAGAAGCTGTATTTATTTATTTATTTATTTATTTGTGAAAATACCATATAGAGGGGCTAAATTACATGGGCAAGATTATGAGTGCATTTCTTATTAAGCATTGTTGCTTTCTACTTTGTTTCCCTTTCCCATCATTCCCATTGTCTCCCTCCACCCCACCCCTCCCGTGCCCGGGCCAAAGTTGTAAAGTTCGTTTTTTGACATAATGACTTGTACATCACATTGTTGCAATGGATCCACCTGTATCCCTATTTAAACGATTTGTTTTTTTCCTTCCCCTCCACAAATTATACCAACATCAAATACAGTGAAAGCAGGGGTTATACCGTGGGGGGTGGACATACAAAGCAACAAAGAAATCAACTTATAAATATGTTAGAAACAATCGCATGAAAGCAAAAACATTTGAATACTTTTCTTGGGGTTCATTTCACCTAACATCAACTTATCTGAACTGTCCTGCTTGTCTCAGACATATACTAG